CATTTCTGTGGATTCCTGTTTCTTTAGCCTATTTTTTTAACTCCATAATTCTTTTAAAATAAGATAAGCATTCAAGGGAGTTGCTGCCTCTGAACATGGAGGTCTAATTTGGCTTCCATGGCTAATAGCCATTATTTTCCATGAATGTGTTTAATCCCTCTTTAAATGCATTTAGGATAGTAGTCACTGTTACATGTTAGTTCCTTAAGTTAATTAAGCTGAGAGTCAAGAAGTACTTCCTTTTACCTGTCCCATCATCTCTGTTGAGTGTCCCAAATTCCAGTATTTGGAGAAAAAGGTCTGTCTCTCCACATGGGGTCGACATAATTTTGTGACTCTCTGTTGTGTCACTCCTTAAACCGATTTTTTTCGAAATCAAACGCCCTGAATTTTTAGCCTTTCCTTGTGAACGGCCTTCTTGGGGAACTTATTCCAGTCCCTTGAACATTTTGGTTGCCTTTTTTTCTACCCTTTCTTGCTCCACAATATTCTTTTTGTGATACAGTGACCCAAACTGTACACCATATTCCAAATGCAGCTCAACAGGGACATTATGATGCTTGCTGTTTTGTTTTCTGTGATTTCCCTAGTAATCCTTAGCAAAGAATTTGCCTTTATCACCAGTGCTGTACACAGAATCAACATTTCCATCTCACTATCCACTATGATCCATTGGATCTTATTGGATTATCTGCTTGTTAAGACCCTATCTATTTATATAACAATCAGATTTTTTCCCCATTGTGTGTCACTTTCTACATATTGATATTCAACCCAATTCACCGTGGTTTTGCATATTTATCCAGTTTGGAGAGATCTTGTCAAAGCTCTTCACAAATATATTTGCCTTTCAGCGTCCTGTGTGTTTTGGTGTTGACTGTAAACTTGGCCACTGCATTGCTCTTGATTTGAGATAATTTATGAACAAATTAAATATCTCTGATCCAAATACTGACTGGACTCCACTGCTTAACTTCTGCTTATCTACATTGTGAAAGTTGTTTACTTCTTCCTACTGCTTCTTGTTGTTTAGCCAATTAGTTATCGGTGGGAGGATCTGTTCTATTATCCAATGGCTGTTAAACTTTCTTAGTTGCTTTGAGTGAGAGAGTTTGTCAAAGGTTTCTTTGGGAAATTCAAGTATGTAAAGCCTTCTGGATCACTCTAATCCACATGCTTGTGAACGCTCTTGAAAAACTCCCAAAGATTAGTGAAGCCATGAAGATTCTTCTTCAGTAGACCATGGCTATGTGTTTAATAATTCACCAGCTTACTTGCTGATGCAAGAAGGTGAAAAGTTTCCTCTGGAGCCCCCCCCCCCTTGATGGGATTCATGAGATACAGAATATGTCTGCAGTAAGAGTGGAAATGTGCAGGGTCACCCATCCTCTCTCTCGACCAACAGAAGACGAGTGTTGTCCAACCCTCTCTATTTAATGACATTTTCCACCAGCTCACCTGGAGTAGAGACTAATTGACATGTAATTCCCCCTGGTCTCCCTCTAGTGTCATTTTTAATAAATTGGCTTTCCAGTTCCCTTGTGGGGAGCTGTGTTTTAGTG